AATTGCATAAATTATTAAAATTATACATTAAATGTACTTACAAAAATCCATTAAAACTTTAAAGGAGCCAAAATTTACTACAAATCAATACAAGACATGGACCTCTATATTTATATGCTATTCTGTTTTTCCGAGCTAGTAACCTCGAGTGCCAGAATATGCTCCAGATCCTTCATGTTTACAGTAGGGCCTCGGGTCAACTCCTCAACTTTGAAAAATTTGAGTTGATTTTCTCTGCAAATGCGGATGAAGTTGCAAGAAAGCGAGTATGTAGAACTATGGGTATCAATCGAGCGAGACCAAATGTTAAATATCTGGGTTTACCTTCAGTGTGGGGTCGATCTAAGGCTGCGGCTTATGGTTATTTGCTTGAAAAAATGGTTGCTAAGATGCAAGGGTGGAAGAATCATCTTTTATCACATACCGGGAGAGAGGTCCTCATTACAGCAATTGTGCAAGCTATCCCTTCTTATGCAATGGCGTGCTTTTTCTTCCCTCAGAATTTTTGTCAGAAGATGGACGCGTTTATTCGTAATTACTGGTGGAAAGAAGACCCAGGTGAGCGCGGCATCCATTGGGAAAAGTGGACAGCTATGTGCATATCCAAACACGAAGGTGGCATGGGATTTCGAAACTTTTCTCATTTCAATCAAGCACTTCTTGCGTGACAAGGCTGGCGACTAATAAACTCTCCCAACTCTTTCTGGGCTAGGATGTTCAAAGGGCTTTATTACCCTCATTCGGATTTTTTACAAGCAGCTAGAGGGGCTAGAGCTTCTTGGGCATGGTCAAGTTTGTTGAAAGGCCGGGAGTTACTTTTAAAAGGGTGTCGCTGGCAGATTCACAATGGGCATTCTGTGCGTTTTTGGGATGATCGCTGGATACCAACTCTCACCAATTTTAAGGTCTTATCCCTTCAACCCCCAGGAAGTGGTATTGTGATTGTTTCGGATGCCATAGACCCTACATCTAAACTATGGAAAGTTGCGGTCCTATGCACACTTGTTTCATGTGAGGAATTGCAAGCCATTCGGTCCATTCCAGTGCCTTTTATCGATAAGGCGGATTCTCTCATTTGGCACCACACCAAGTCGGGAACATACTCTGTTAAGTCTAGGTATCACTTGGCTCGCCAGTCTTCGGATAATCATCTCTCAAGGCAACCTTCATCCTCCTTCCTTCTCCCTCGAGGTTTTTGGAAACAAATTTGGAACCTGCAAATTCCCCCCAAAATCCGACACTTTTGGTGGCGATCCTGTAAAAATGTTTTGGCAACTAAGGCAAATTTGGCTAGACGTCGGTGTGCAACCTCCAATCTTTGTCCAATCTGCCATAAAGATGTGGAAACAGTGGAACATATGCTTTTTGATTGTGCATGGACCAAGGCAATCTGGTTTGGAAGTATGTTGAATTTTCGGCTGGAACCTGGATCTATCACAAATGTGGCGCAATGGACAACTTCATGGAGGGAAAACGGGGTGTTTACAGACTCCGGAAAGGAAACTCTCAGCCGAATTGCTTTGATTGACTGGTATATATGGAAGGCTCGCAATGACTTCATTTTCAACTCAGTGCCTGTTAGCCCATCTGACACACTCCAAAGAATACACCATGATTGGAATGAATATTTTCTACAGGGTGGGGAAGAGACTATAGTACCACTGGCTGATAACTCCATGGTCGTTGGCACTGCCTCTGGATGGACTCCCCCTCGGGTGGGGACTGCTAAAGTAAATTGTGATGCCTCCTTCCACGGGTCTTCGGCCAAAGCTTCTGCAGCAGCTATCATGAGGAATTCGAAGGGCCAGTTTATTGATGGGATTGTCACCTCCTTCTTTTCAGCATCAGCCCTGCAAGTTGAAGCTGTTGCGGTGCGTCTAGTATGCTGTTTGGCCCAGATGCATGGGCTTTCCTTGGCCGACATCGAGAATGACAACCAAGAACTCATCCACCTGTGTGTGTCTGAAACAGTCCCTCCATGGGAGATCATGGCAGTTGTGGCCGATATTCGAAGTTTTGCAAGGGATAGAGCTTGGAAGTTCATGTGGACCCGAAGGACAAACAATTCTGCTGCTCACTAGGTGGCTACTGCTCACTATATATCAACACTTCCTGCTAGTTGGGTCACATGTGTGCCACAGGACTTTGCTTCTGTTCTTTCCCTTGATGTTCCTGCTCATCTTTAATTCTCTGCTTGTAGTTTCCTACTTGTTCAAAAAAAAAAAAAAAATTTTTTTAGATGAGATGCAACAAAAAAAAAACATACTTGAAATGAGAAACTCAATAATAATTTGTAGAACATAAGATTAGGTATAGTTCTAACCTGGAATTCAGTAGACTCCAACGGCCTTCTTTCATTAAGTTTGTTCTATCCACTACTTCTTCTTCTTTCCTTTCATTGATATGTGAACCTGCGTTTAACAAGAACAAATAACATGAATAAAATGTCATTTTGATTTATATATCCCTTTTCAATGTGTTTTAAAAATTAGTTTAACTACTCAAAAAATTTGTAAAATTTTTATATTATGTAAATATATAAGTGTAGTATATTTGGTAAAAGTTTCATATCAAAGGCCCTTCAAATTAAAATTTTAAATCAAGTGGTACTTGGATTGACCGTTGTGCAAAATTTTGTGTGACATGACTTCTTTTTTTATATTTTTAATAAATAGTTACACATCTTAAAAAATTTTAAAAATTTTGTATGTTCCTATATGAGTTTGCTATATTGGGTAAAATTTTGAGATTGAAATGATGAGAAATTAATTTTATAGCATTGATGGACTGACCGGTGGCTTAATTAACTATTAAAGGAGAATTTTGTGTTTTAGATTTTCAATTTTGTATCGGGTTTGGGTGCCCATGACTTGAGATAACTTTTATTGGGTTTAGTTTGATATATCTTCGGGCCATGTTCGGCCAATGAATGAATCAAGGCCCACAACCCATAATAATGACCTAATTGTTGGTGAAAAACTTTGCTTGGGATAATTTTTTTTAACCTGTCTTTTTATTTTTTAATTATTTTAATTTAGTTAAAAAAATTTATTTAAAATAAATTTATATTTTTTTATAATTAATTTAATGATTATAAGAGAAAAAAATAAAATAATTATAATTTAAATATAAAATTTTATCTTATTAATTAAATTAATTTATTATTTTTTTTATTGACCAATTCAACCCCACCCATAGGCCGAGCCACAGTGAATAAAATTATGGAATCTTGTTTTCTGTGGCCTCGTTTAGGAACCTTTCATTTTAGTTAAAAAGTCAAAAAGTTATTAAGGTCTCGTTTGAGAATAGGTTAATTTAGTAACTTTTTGGCTATTTGGTTAAAATATGAGTTAAAAAAAACTAGTATGTTTGGGATGATTTTTTGGCTTTTTACGAAAAGATGTGCAAAAAGTAGAGAGAAAAGAAAATCTTTGACTTTTTGGTATGAGTTGTTGAATTTTTTGCTAATTTAGTAATTTTTTGACTTTTTGGCTAAAAATAAAGGTATCCAAACGAGGCCTAAATTAACCAAAAAGCTAATAATCCATATCAAAAAGTCAAAGATTTTTTTTTCTCTACTTTTTACACATCTTTTCGTAAAAAGTTAAAAAATCATCCCAAACTTCGTTTGGTTTGTATTTCTGAAAAAATTTTGAGAAATTTTCTCTACAAATAAGTTTTTAAAAGTAATCAAACCAAACAAATTTTTCCAAAAAAATTTCTCAAAACTTGTAAACCAAACAAGTTTTCCAAACAAATCTCTCTCTCACACACATCAAATCAATCACTTTTTCCAAAACTCTCTCTCAAAATAATTTTTCAAAACATCTTTTGAAAAAAACCAAACCAAACAACTTTTTATATTTTTTATCTCTAAAATACATCTCTAAAACACAAACCAAACATACCTATTATTTTTTTAAAGCCATATTTTAACTAAATAATTAAAAAATTACTAAATTAACTTATTCCCAAACGAGCCCGTTTGTGTGGGGTTGGCAACCCCTTTCCTTTTGTTCCTTGGCTCAGTGGAGACCATTATCTTCCGAAAAATTATTAGTTGGTGCGGGGACGTTAATGCCCTATTAATCACAAACTATCAACTATTGTACATGCGGTCTAACTTAAAAAAATTAAAATCATTACATGATGATCATTTGAAAAAAATATTGTCTAAGGCCTCGTTTGAGAATAGGTTAATTTAGTAACTTTTTGACTATTTGGCTAAAATATGAGTTAAAAAAAACTAGTATGTTTGAGATGACTTTTTGACGAAAAGATGTACAAAAAATAGAGAGAAAAGAGAATCTTTGACTTTTTGGTATGAGTTGTTGACTTTTTGGCTAATTTAGTAACTTTTTGGCTTTTTAACTAAAAATAAAGGTTCCCAAACGAGGCCTAAATTAATCAAAAAGCCAACAATCCATACCAAAAAGTCAAAGATTCTCTTTTTTTCTCTACTTTTTATACTTCTTTTCGTTAAAAAATCATCCCAAACATATTACTTTTTTAACTCATATTTTAATCAAATAATTAAAAAATTACTAAATTAACTTGTCCTAAAGGAGCCCCGTGTGTCTGGGGTTGGCAACCCCTTTCCTTTTGTTCCTTGGCTTCTGAAAAATTATTAGCTGGTGCAGGGACGTTAATGCCCTATTAATTACAAACTATCAACTATCATATTTTTTTTTTATATTTTTTAATCATTTAATATAAAAGTATAATATTATATGTATTAATTAATATATTAATAAATTATGTGACATAATTTTATAAATTTTGAATTTTTATAATAGGTGTCATAAAATTAATTAATATATTAATTAGTGAGTAGCATCATCAAATATAAAAAAGTAATTCTAGAGATTCTAAAAATTTTACTAAATGTCTTATATAGGTGTGGAACCCACACATGTGAGACATTTAGTAGAATTTTTAGTATAATTTTTAAGACTTCTATCATTTTTTAATATAAAATCGTAAACCATGTGGAGCACGCCCGTGGACCAACCAATAACTTCTCCTATTCTCTCATCCTTACCCAATTTTGCATGAGAGAGAGAGAGAGAGAGAGAGAGCGAGAAGACGAAAGCAAAAGAGGCTTCATTTTTTCTTCATGGAAGTGGAAGCTCGAAACTCCCTAAACCATTACCCCAAAACCCGTTCAGCTTTTTTAATTATTTGAGGGAGTTTTTAGTGTGATTTAGGGTTAGATTTGTGGGGCTTGGTGAAGAATACTTGTATATATTTTGAAGATCTTAGAGTTTGGTGGTTTGATTATCCATCTCTTCTTGCAACTATTTGTTAAAGCTTCTCAAGAGGTAGGGTTTATTTTCAGAAAATAGCATGCTTTACATGAGTATTTTATGATTTTAAGGGTAATTTCATGTATTTCTATTTTAGATTTCGATGGTTGAAATGCTCATTATTGTTCTTTGTTTAAGGGTAGAAAAGCATGTTATTAAGATTATTTCATTGTATGAAATAGATGTTTGTATTAAAATGTTTATTTGCTTTCAAGCCCCAAAAAATGTTGTTTTCATGAGATTTGAAAACCAATAATATACATATTGTATATTTTGTTCATTTTTGCAAAATTGAAAAATATAAGATTTTGGATTTTGTGCTTGAAATCCAAAAAAAATGTTATTCTTGTTACATTTGATGATTTTTTTTTTAATTTTTTTTTATATATGTAAATAGCATATTGATTAGTTAACCTTGAAAAATTAGTATTTTTTTTAAGTGTTGAGAATTTGGGGAAAATTGACTAGTTAGATTAATCATGGGTTAATTTAACTTAGTTTAAAACATGGTTTGACTTGAGATTGATTTAGTATTTTTACCATAATTTTCAGATTTAGTTTCCTTATTAGTTTGATTAAAATAGGTATTTTGAATGATTATTTTGTGATTGAAGTTATGCTAATATCCTATTTAGAATATTTAATGAATTTAGGGCTTATGAAGGGAAATTGGTAATGTGGTCCTTAGGGACAAATTGGTCATTTCACACTTTAGAATATATGTACAATTGTAGCCGTAAGAGCAACTTGGTAAAATTAGCTAGAAAGAGAATTTGTTGAGAAAATGACGAAGTGTTGAAAAGTACGGAATGTAGTAACCTAATAAGTATTAAAAAATAAATGTTGGTATTTACAATACTTAGTTAATTTTTGTGCAAGTCCCGATGGTGTTGATTTTACAGGCTTGGCCTGGGTTATAGGCGTTATAGCTGGTTTTGTGTTCCAATAACCTTGATGGAGATAGTGTTACCACTATCTATAGATTAGACCCCCAAACATTGTGCAGTTTTGAGCAATAGTAGCCTCCGGTGGTATGATGATGAAGTTTTTGTCTGACACACAGCTTGGAGTGAGCCTAGGCGTGATTAGGGTAGGACCCAGTAGTATACTGCGATTCTTTGTTTAAAAAAATTAGTGGTATACTACGACTTGGACATAGTATGTTTTGGTGAGGCCGAGTTGTTGCCCTGTTCGTAGGTTATTGATGCCCTGTTGCCGGTTATTGATTTTGAGTTTCTTTATTTATTTTAGTTTACTCGGTGTGAGCCAATTAAATGAAAGAGATTTAGTGGAGTTAAGTAATTGAATGCGAGAATTGAACATTGCATTTGCATTATGTATATTATCACCTCACCTGCATGTTGGTTGTTATAATTGTGAAGAGAATTATTATGGTGGATTAGTCTGTTGCTCACCCCTTACCGTACAGTTATCGGTGGATTTGTTCAAGCTTGAGGGCCAGATTCCTTGCTTTGTGGATTGCAATATTTAGATCATTGTGTATTTGGGCTTATGTGCCCGTATTTTGTTGTACTTCATTTGATGGAACTATGATCTATAAAATCATTCTACATCTATGTCAATTCATTTTGTTGGGAAATGTGTACTTGTGAGTAGCATATGAGTGACCTCTTTTTTTCTTATTTCTTTTTTTTTTCCCAGTTAAGGAAAAGAAATAGTAAAATGATTAATTTTCTCGAAACAAGTGAAAACAAGTTTTATAAATCGTTTATGTACTTAAATTTAGGACTTTAATGTTTTCATTAAAGTGGCACATTTTATGAGGTAAATTCAGAAATTTTGAATAAGTTAAATGACTGGATTTTGACATTAATGATGGAATTAAGTGAATGAAGATAGAAATTGGACCTTTTTAAATTAAAGATCGCGCTTTAAGTTAATTAGTTTATGCCTAATTAACTTCTTAAAATTTGAGGCATGACAACAACTGATATGCATAATATGCATACAAGTATTCATGAGTTTGGTTTGTTCTATGTGAAATCTGGAGAAAAAACTGAATAAAATTAAATACTATTGATTTGTACTATTTTTCGGTTGTTGGTTATGATGGTGTGAATTTATTATTTTTTGGGTGAATTACACCATTTTGAGCAAAATTTCACTTTGGTCTTTGTAGTTTTAATTTGAATAATTTGGTTTTTACACTTTTAATTTTATTGCAATGTAGTCCCTCCATGTGGTGGTGTAATCATATTGAATGGAAAAAAAATCATGTGCAAAACTAGGGGACTAAAGTGGAATTCAAAACAAACTATGGGGATCACTAATATAGTTTGTTTTGAATTCCACTTTACATAATTTATTTTGAATTTCACTTTAGTCCCTCTAGTTTTGCACATGATTTTTTTCCATTCAAAATTCTAATGGTAAGTGATGGATTGACCACATGGCAACAAAATTGAAAGTGTAGGGATCGAATTGTTCAAATTGAAATTTTGGGGACTGAAGTGATACTCAGTTAAACTATAGGAACTAATGGTGTAATTTATCTTCTTTTTTTTTTGTTAAAACCCTTTTTCTTAAGAGGTTGGTGTAACATGAATTGAATCCTTAACCCCCACCCACCCTGTTGGATGCTATGCCAATGCTTTTATCAGTATGCTGCAACGATTTTAGTAGAGTAACAAATGATTCTTGTATATGTTATGTATCTTCATTTCCTCTAAAATTTAAATAGTAGAGTTGGTTCAGGTTTTTTGAGATTCAAATACCAAGTCATATGGTTTGGGGAGAATGGGTAGGAATTAGGATACCAAGAACCGATTATTTAAATTTCTAGCTTTAGTTAAGAATTGATTCAAATTGTTCAAAAATCTATTTTAGAATATTGTAATAATAGTGGCAAACTGCTATTCTATTTTCAGGCGAGCTGCTTTTGCACTCTGCTGAACCGATGCAGTTGCAGAGATTGTTAAAATCCATGAACTTGAGACTTCTACTCTTGCCACTTTATCATCTCTGAAGGTATGTACACAGTATCTGTTGTTATGCAGGGTTTGTTCGATGTTTGTAAATGGTATGCTTAAGATTAAAAATGAATCCAACTTCTTGAGTTTGGCTTGCTTAGAGCAAAGCTTGGTATAGTATTCATGGGTCGAGCTTGATTCTAAAATTCAAGGTTAGTAAATGGATGAACAAACCTCAATCATCTCCATACTCAGCTTGATGTGGCTTGCAAGTGCTATTATTTTTGTAAAAATTGCCATTTAATAGATCCATATATACAGGTAATGTGCAATGAGTAATGCTACAATGACCATGTTTATATACCACATTAATGCAATAGTTGAATGGGTCCCACCACTCATGTTTGCTATCAATACAGTAATGGCACATCACATGGTAAATCAAATGTGGTATATAAATATGGTTATTGAAACATTACTTGTGGAATTTCAACAAATTTCCTTGGATTTATTTTTTTAATTTGCTAAAGTTTTGGACAAGACCGGATCCTGCTGTAAAATATCTGGTTCATATTTCTACTTTTTTTACTTCATAATAGCGAAGTTTTGAAAGCTTTCCTATACCTAAAAAGTAAAGTCTTAACTGAAGTATGAAGCTAAAATACTGTAACTGTTGTACTTTTGAGTGTTGCCTTTATAGTCTAGTTTGCCATAGCATCTTTTAGAGAAAGCAAATCAAGCTGAGCCATCTCAGGCACTCATGCAGTCATGCCTGCTCACCAAGCTGAGCTCAAATGGGAGGGAGAAAAAATTCATCAGACTTCAGACAAGCTTAATTAATGATTTCAATAAGTTGAGCTGGCCTTGAATACCTTCTTACTCAGCTTGGTTTTGCTTGTAATCACTCCTGGATGTGTGTCTCGAATCTTCATAATTGTTAATCCTTTCTTATCGTTTTCTTAGAGGGTCAAAGTGACACCTTGATTGGATGTATGTAATTTCTTATACACTAATAGTTTTTTGGGGTAATTACCAACCAGTCCTATTAAGTAGACTTAAATACCATTAAGTCCTATTGACTGTTTGAATGCACCAATAAGTCTTGCAATACTTATACCTATCAAGTTCTTTCATCTTCTCTCTCTCTCTCTCTTCACCATTTTCCCAAAAGCTTCACACCACCATTGTCTACCGCTGCTGCCACCATCACCACTGTCGTTGTCATCCACCCATCATCTTCTCTTCTCTTCTCTTCTCTTCTCCTCTCTCTCTCTCTTTACCATTTTTTCAAAAGCTTCACACCACTATTGTCTACCACCATCGCTGTCTACCCACCACCACCACCACTACCACTGTCGTCATCATCCACCCACCACCACCACCACCACCACCATTATTTGGATGCCTCGACCGTTCACCAACTATCTTCACCATCATCGCAGATCTATACTCTACTATCATCGATCTACACTTTAACGTCGTAGATCTATGCTCCACTGTCGCCAATCTACACAACCTCCATATCACCACCATCTCCTTTGTTTCAGATTCAGATTTATTTTTCAGTGATAAACTTATCAATCTCGCTTGTTCTTTTGTGTATGTGGAAGAGGATGATGGATTCTTGTAAGTGAATGAGTGAATATACGTAAGGATGGTGGATATTAATGAATAAATATACAGTGATAAATTTATCAGTCAGGACTTGTAGGTAAATAAGTCTGGTTAATAGGAACGGCCAGCAAGTGCCCCTAGTTTTTTTTACTTTTATAGGAAACCATGCTTACAGATCAAGTTGGATGTGCACTTTGTTCATTTTTAGTTTTTGTTTTTTGCAATGTATACAAATATATATTTACATAAATTATAGTTCCCCGCATTGTTGTGTACCGTACACTAGATTTCTAGGGTGTGGGCCATGATAAATTCCTTTTCTATCTATAAGCTACTGAAAGATTTTTAAATTTTTTTTTTTTTTTTAACAAGCTGTAATTTCCAAAAAACAAAAAGGATGTATTTTGTTATAGACCAGGGCTGCATTTCTGTTTGTTCTCCTTATCTTTCTAACCCTCAAAACGATCTATTTTCAGGTTCTAAGTGAAAATGCTGATGCTCCAGGTGGATGTGCTGTATCTGTTGTTAATGAATCCCTTTATGTTTATCTCAAGATTTGAGGAACTTTAATGCATAAGCAAAGCTTGAAAAGCTTCAGAAAAAGATGGAGGACATACAAAAGTAAGTGTCTTTTCTCAACTGAAGCTCCATATACAAATACAACTTTTATTACCCTTTTCATGATATTGGACACCCTAGCTCTATTGCAGTTGCAAACGAAGGATTGTCTGTTGTTGGAGGTTGTGGTCAATTCCTCATGCAGATTGCGTGTGCAACCATCTTAAAAAACTGAGCACAAAAAAAATGAAAAAAATTGCATTAAGTTTTGTTTTGACGTAAACTTCGGTGATCTAGAAAAGGAAGATTGTGGAGCTCAATAGTAACAGTAGTATGAGTTTGAATAACACAAAATGTTGGTTAGCTTTGACACATAAACAAAACTTAGATTTCAATTAATCATGGAAAATGATGATTACTTGTATCAAGGCTTTATGGGCTCAGTCATATCAGGAAAAAAAATCTTGAATTAGCAAAGAGGGAAATCTTGCTAAAAATAGGTCCCAACACATCCACGCAATAAAATGTATGGATAATAAATTGAGGTGTATACACAATGAGATGTTTGGTTTATGACTGAAATTTCTGCTGATTTTTTTCCTCCTCACTCTGGAGTAATTAAGATATGACTTATCATTTTTGAATTGTCTGATTGAGCTGCTTGTTTCTAGGGTTCTTGCTGCTTGACTGATTGATAATACCCCTAAATTGAGGTGTATACACAATGAGATGTTTGGTTTATGACTGAAATTTCTGCTGATTTTTCCCCCCCTCACTCAGGAGTAATTAAGATACGACTTATCATTTTTGAATTGTCTGATTGAGCTGCTTGTTTCTAGGGTTCTTGATGATGACTGGCATATGGAAATTGGAATGCAATGCTATGCTGTGAGATCATTATTATAAAAACTCAGAGTCAACTTGTAATTCCTTCTTCACTTATGCCCATATGAGCTTCTGATTTATTTAATTGAAGAATCTCAATAGAAAGGACCATTTCCTTTTTTATTTGCTTAAAGTAGGGATATTTCATAAAGAAGCACTACAGCAAATTTGACCTTTAGTGCCATTTTTATAATGCTGCTAACAATGGTAAAAATGCCAGCAAAAGTTAATACAACATTTCTAAACTTGCATCGACTATGAGGCCGCCGCCTTAGGTTAGCGTTGTTTTAGAAATGCCACAAAAACTTTTACCAACATTTAATTGAAACACCATCTAAACTTCTGAGCTGGAAACTTTGATGACTATCTTTCTATTAGTGGCGCTTCATAAAAACAACACTAATTTCTCTTCTTAGTGCATTTAGCCATGTTTATTGTTTTTGCACATTTTTGACAACCCATTTTTGACCGGCCCTAAGATTTGGATGCTTTCAAAGCTCCTCGATGATGAAACAACGCTTCATGAAAGCACCACTAATTTCTCCTCTTAGTATATTTAGCCATGTTTATTGTTTTCGTACATTGTAGACACCCTATTTTTGATCAGCCCTAAGATTTGGGCGCTTTCAAAGCTACTCGATTATTGTGGGTGATAGAGATTAGAGGCGATCGGTCGTTGACCTCTGGGAAGATAGTAGACACTTCAATGGCCTGAGATCACCAGAGGTGGAAGAGGAGAAGACCAAAGAAAGCTTAGAGAGGAAAGGAGTGGCAGTAAGAGACCTTGAACACTTAGTGTATGTCATGTGAATTCTTGTTGCCCTTGTGTTAATGTGGCTGGACTTATGATGCTGTTATATAGACTCTAGGAGTATTGGAGCCCAAGCAACCTCAAGACGGGTGGTGAGTTATCCTCGACTCGACAAGAGGGTGATATCAGCCCTACTAGCTGTGTCCCTATGATTCAGGTCCTTGGAAAGGTTGCATCATAAGTGCGGCAGTTGTAGGTATGATATCTTGAGAGGTGTATCATATGTGTATTGTATCAGATGTAAGTGTAAGGTTAACGTCCCTTTCTCTAAGCCAGATCAAAAGGGGAGCTGTCACTGCAGGGACAGCTACATGACCTTTTTGATCCTGAGGTCTTAGCCTTCAATCCACAATCCTCCAATGATCCAAAATGGGAGTGCCTAGGTCCTGCTTCCAACCTAGGCAGCCAAGGGGGTGAGTGCATGAGCCAAGGGCTCATCTTGAGTAGCTAAGTAAACATAGGTGAGCCGAACATAGGTGAGCCAAGAGTCTAACTATGTTGCTATGGAGCTGGGGTGAGTGGGTAGAGAAAATATTTCCTGAGTTATGAAGGGCCATAGAGAGCTCTAGGTGAGCCAACTCTATCAAAGTGAGCTGTGGCCTTGTTTTCATACTTAGTGGTGTGTATGCCCCCCGCTTAGGCTAGGTATACAACCCCAACTCGTCGTGGTGCCTTAGGGGTTTGCCACATGGATGTGTGATAGTGATGACGTAACGCCCGTAGGGCTCTCTACGTGCCAAGCATAATAGAGAAACCCACATTGATGCCCCCCTGTACAGATATTCTCATGAGAGTTTCTGTACATGTATGACAAAGATGTCGAAAATATTAGTCATGCAATTAATAAAATTTGATTTCTTTTGAATCAAAGGGAGGTTGTTTATTTTATTTTATTTTATTTTTATTGGCCATGGAGAATTCACATTTTAATTTCATCTGGCACGAACAGGCCGGACGAAAATGTGGGCTTGTTGGGCGATGACCTCATTCCGTAGGATCTCTACTACTTTACACGAGATTTCAGCTTCATTCTATAGGCACCAAAAATCCCGCTCGTCACTCTTTTCATGCTGTTGAGAGGCGGGTTCATGGTCTTGGTGTTGGAGTAGCCCATGATTTGACTCATAAATTGGGCTTCGCTTTTTCTTTTTTTCGTGTTTGTAATGATGACGAGATGGAAGCGTCCATAAGAGTATAGGTGCATGTAGTGCTGGAGGAAGTTAGGGCGAGTGGCGCCCTCAGTGTTGAAGAAGAGGATGTTGAGCGGAGTGTTGTGGGGAATGCTTGGCGGAGCGTTACGAAGAATGCTCTCTTTCCCAAGTTAAGGTCTGCGAAGTTCTCTATGTCCCATCTGAGACCCAAATCTTCATTTGGGTTTTCCAATGGTGCTGACATGATGGAGATTTGGTGGTCCAGATCCCTCTCTGTCGGTCTTTGTGAGAGGATGTTGATTTGGATCCTCTCGAAATATGGGATCGGCACTTGCATTATCTAGCAGGTGGATCCTTGGAAGGTGAGGTTGCCTTCTTGGTTTGGAAAGAACTAAGTGTAGGATGGTGGTATTGTGTAGAGATTTGGGAGCGTTAATACCTTGTACCGTCCCCTTATTTTACACCAAAATTCTTCGGCTCTACAACTGTATATGGGGACGTTAGGTGCTGGACCCAAGGGGATTTGAATAGTGGACCTTGGAATTGCCACAGAGGCATGGAGAGCATTCTTCGAAAGAACTTGTACACCAAGTAGCGATGGTGAGTGGGAGTGGAGCTCGAAGCTCTAGAGTTGGAGTTTGAAACTATATAGTTTGAACGTCTCTAGTTTTGAGCCTTGTTGTTCACTGGCCGGCGGTGAGTGAGAGTGGAGCTTGAAGCTCTAGAGTTGGAGTTTGAAGCTATGTAGTTTGAACCTCTTCAGTTTGGAGCCTTGTTGTTCACTGGCCGCCAAACGATATTATCTCGGTGGTCCTCTCCTCCAGAAGCCATTGTTAGAGAGAATGGGTTCTTGAAGTTGAGAGGAGAGTGTTAGCAATTGAATAGGAATTTGTTTGAGTTTTTTTTTTCTTTTTTTTGTTGTGTTGTTATTTTATGTTTGCTCTCTTATAAAGAGATTGCACCAGGAAGGGAAGAGGTGAGTTTACTAACTTTTGCAGCTTTATGAAGACATTGGGAATGAGCAATCCATGGAGATGACAACTCACAAATTGAAGTCGTAGCTATTGGTTTAGAGCAGACCATTAATAGTTGCTGATTTGGAGCTAGTCATGGTAGCTTCTGATAACTTTTGTAGCTGTTAGTAGTTGCAGTAAAGTGACTTTTTCAAGAGTTCAAGGTTTTTACACTGATGAGCCATGAGCGGTCACATCTATTTTTAATTTTTCCACCGAACATGTAGAGTTTTTGATTGATTTAAGGATTCTACCTTGGAAAGGTACAACCTCAATCTGTGTGTATATATATTATTATTATTATTATTATTCTGGGTATAGTTTGAACCCGCTCGAATAGGGAGCTTGCGTTTTTGCAGAAATATTTATTGTGTATTTTGAATTTGACCGGAGCTTTATGTATTCCGGTCACTTCCTTCATCTTCTCCTTTTACCTATTGTACATAGTTTTTTTTATTTTTTTTTATTTTTTTAATTTTAACTTTAGATCAGATAGGAGCTTTGTTGTCATGACCCGAACCTGCCCCTGTGGATTAGTCATAACCAGCCAGTAATCATGAGATTACCTTCGGTCTCAGTCAGAAATCAAATCATATTTAATAACAGGGGGTCAAATTGCAGAAGCAAAATTCACGAAAATTGTCCAATGAGAAATGCATACATAGCTCAACCAAAACATTCTCATATATGTAATAACTTATACTATACAAACATCCATATTATGTATGTATTACATAAATCCAGGATCATTCAAAAGTCAGTATTAACAAAACCAAGGTTATGCACAGATTTGGTCATACATTGGTCATACGTGACCACAAAAGAACAAAAGGAAAAACAAAATAAAAGTAAGGTCTCTTGCATGAGGCGACCTTAGTTGACTCTTCAAAACTCGGTTTCTCATTGCTCATTAGGGTTGGGGCTGGACATCCCGCTGCTCACCTATATACACATAAATAAGGAGTGAGCCAACGCCCAGTGAATAGTATCAAAGGAAAGGAGTTCATGAATGAGATTCGTTAAATCATAAGTTATAAACTAAATTTGTTGATCGATATCAACCCAAAACGACCTTAGGTCCAACATATCATGTATCATATTCATATTCATATACCAAATGACCTCGGGTCTAACTCGTATTTGCTAATTGACTTTTGGTCCTTTATATGCAGAATGACCTTAGGTCCAATTCATAGGCAAAACGACCTTTGGTCCAATATATGCGATATGACCTTGGGTCTATCATATGTAAGACAACCTTGGATCCGATTCATGTAAAACGACCTTAGGTCCAACCAATCAATATTCACATTTGTGCACTCGTGATCCATGATCATGTTCACATTCGCTTTTGCATTCAAAACGACCTTCAATTTAGATTTTATAACAAAAAATCGAACAGATCAAAATTAAAAAACACATATAATCATATAATTAGCACTCAATCATATCAAGCATATAATGATAGGCTTAATTAAGATTAATTAGCATAACACAGAGTAGTGTTGTCACATTTTTTTTTTTGGTTGCTTTCCACGTCTCTTCTTTTTACATATTGTACAGAGGGATTTTGTTTTTTTGTTTTTGTTTTTTGGAGTTGAACGTTTTGTTTTTTCAGGTACAGAGGTTAGCCATCCTTCATGATATTTCTGGTGTGCCTAGGGCGGCATGTGCACCTTTTGAAGAGGAGAACTTTGTTGATGATTTGATTTCGCGTCGTTGGTTGTGGGGACAAACTAAGGCTGACTATGATAGTGATTCTGAAAGTGAGGGTGATGATGGGGATAGCTTAGAGACTAATCTGAGTGCAAGGGATGGTGATGTTGCTAAGGTTACAGCAGATGTTCCTATTGATGGGATGAGATCTCGAGGTGCTGCGCCATATGTTAAAGATAGAGTGACCTTTGCGCCTCTTCTGTTGTAGTTAGGTCACCTGGTGGCACATTCAGTTGGTCTTGGGAAAAAGACGATGGTGACGATCCAATTGGTTGGTTGACTTTGGCTGATGTTCAATCTTGCCTGCCTTCTGGTGGAGTCCTTACCGTCTCTTTATTTGGTTGGAGTTGTAGTTTGTCATCGATTGATGCTCGTCCCAGTTTGCCTTCAATTGGTGCTGAGGTTAACCTTCCTTTAGTGGATATTTAGCTTGGGACTTTGCCTACTTCGTCGGGAGTTGCTACCAATTTGCCACTTGGTGAGAGTGGTAGTTGTGTTCATGATGAGACTATTGCTCTTAGCATTGGCTATGGCGTTCAAGCGAGTTTACCTTCCGTGGATGATGAGTTTACTGTGACTCGTCTTGATGATGGTTGTATATCCTTGGCAGGGCCTGACAGCAAGGAGCGAGTTCTTGATCCCAAGGTACTATTTGCTTGCGTACGAGGCGAGTATCTGCCTAGGCTGAACTTTATTTTTGATCATAGGCTAAGCACCTTCATGCGTTTGGAAGCTGTGTTCTTACGACGGTATTTGTTAAAGGCATTCTGCGATATGCTCAGAGGGTTTTGTGGCTTTACTTCGAAGACTTCTGTTGACACTTTTCAATCATTTCGGTTTGCTGTGGCAGAGTTTCAGCTGCATGAGTTTGAGGTGAGTTGGCTTATAGAGAGTTTGTCGCGCATTGAAGCTCTAGTGAAGAATCGCTGGCTCGAAACCGAGCTAGCAGAAATGGATAAGCTTTTGATGGAGTTGGCGTCGGCTAGGGAGAAGGTCGTAGTGGAGTTAGAGTGGGTGACTAAGGTGCTGGCGAATGTGGACTCGGCGATTTTGAGTTTGAGAGAGGAGAGCCGTTGTAGAGGCTCAACTTGTCAGTGTAGAGGGGGAGGTTTTTGACTTAGGTAGCCAAATAGGTCCAAGTTAGGCGAGCTGAGGGGTTTTATGTGTTGGAGAGTTGAGGGTTCAAGTTATGGAGAGTTGAGCTAACATTTTTGTAATTTAAAAAAAAAAAAACCTCAATTACTTTATATAAATATATATAATTTTTAAAATGATTGTTAGTAGTTGCATAAAGTGTAATGAGATTGGAGATAGCAAATGATTTGTTTTATTTATCATAAGCATGAGTCGATGCCTTACATCGCCATTTTGATTACATTGGTTATAGGAAATTTTCCAAGGGTGATTCCTCACTTTTATCCTAAGGAAAATAGGCCTTTAGCCACTTGACGTTGATAGGGCTCAAGAGAACTTGTGAGTTTGGTTCAGAAATTCTATAATAATCATTCTCATTAACCTCTCTTACTATGTAAAGTCCTTGCCATTTGGGGGTGAACTTGTGGGTAGAGGTTCCCCTCATGACATGAGGTGTAGGACGAAGTACCAAGTCTCATTCTTGGAATTGTCTGGAGCGTACCAGAGTGTCATAGGCTTGAGCTATGCGATTCTGGTGAACTTTGAGGTTAGCTTGGGCCTTATCCCTTCTTTCATCAAGGATCTCCAGTTCCGAGGGTCTAGAGTCTGAAGTAGCTCCACTTTGGAGAGTCATGGGAGCTGAGGGTATGGCAATTTCCATCGGAAGAACTGCTTTTGTGCCGTATACCAACGAGAATGGGGTCATTTGAGTTGGCCTTCTTTTGGATGTTCTATAAGCCTAGAGCGCCGTTGGGAGCATGTGCGCCCAATCCCTTTAATAATCCTTGAGAGTCATTGAAAGGATTTTAATGAGTGTTTTGTTGGTTGCTTTAACTTGCCCATTCCCTTAGAGATAGTAAGGCGTTGATTTATGGTGTGTGATGTTGTAGGAGACCAGGAGTTGTCTGACTTGGCGGTTGACAAAAGGGGTCCCATTCTCTGAAAGGATTACTCTGGGTATACCAAAACGACATATAATGAATTCTCGGATGAAATTGAAGACAGCAGTTCCTATTGCCTTCTTTAGGGGGATGGCTTCTACCCACTTAGTGTAAGTCTCTGTGGCCGTCACAATCCATATGTGTCCTTTTGATGCTGGGAAGATAGGGCCATTAAGATCTATAGCCCATGTGTGAAGGGCCATGGTGAGCTTGAACTGTGCAGATCGGTGGCTGGTACGTGAATGAGATTTCCATAGAGTTGGCAAGATTTGCTGCGTTTGGCATACATTTTGGCATCTGTCTCTATGGTAGGCCAATAATAGCCTATATGTAAGAGATGTTGAAATAGCTTGGCTCTACCTTAGTGCTCCGATTCGTGAGCAAGTTCCAAAACCTTATGGATTTCTGCTCCTGATAGGCAATGTAATGGCCTCCCATCGAAGCTGTGCCTAAAAAGTTTCCCTTCTTGCAAAAAGAATTTTGGAGCCCGCTTCTTGATTATTGCGGCTGCTAAGGTAATCTATATCTACCTCACGCCAGTCGGAGGTGATTTCTGTGAAGTTACATTCGACTTTTGGAGGGAATTCTTGACATTTGGTGCACTTCCCTTGAAGGTCATTTGCTTCCTTGGCCATGGTAGGCTAATAGTGTCCTTGTCGTTGTAGCCTCCTATAGAGGCTCACATCTCCTGTCCCGCAAGAGTGGTTGTGAACCCCTTCTAACTTGGACTTGGCTTCGGTAAGGTCAATGCATACCATCGGGCCCTCTGTAGTAAAGAACTCCTTGGTAAATTGTGAAGTGTTTGGTCTCACTCAAGGGTAGTTTACCTGAGGGGGCAGGGAGCTCGTCAATGATTAGGGCTCTTTAGTCGACGGGTTCTTTTTCAGGAAAGATGGTTGTCACTGAGCACGGCACGGAGCGTTTCAGGACTTCTATCTTGGTTGATTCTTCTAAGAATTCTACCTTAGAGGCCAAGGTAATGAGGGCGTCCGGGTGTCGATTGGTGGAGCGGGGAGCGTGTTTTATCTTTACCGTGTCGAATTTGTCTAATAACCTTTGGACGATGGTTCTGCATGAAGCTAGAGGGGGGTCTTTGATAACATAGTATCCATTGGTTTGCTTGACCACCAGATTAGAGTCGTCTTTGATACATAGGAGACTTACACCTAGATGGAGTGCCGCTATAAGCCCTATTATTAGGGCTTCATACTCTGCCTCATTGTTAGAACATCTAAAATCTAGTTTATATGACAAATTGACTTCGGTTTGGTTTGGGGAAGTAAAAACTATTCTAGCTCCTCCCCCTCTGGAGATGGACTATGAAGCACAGACATGGACACGCATACGAACACGGATACGGACACGAGACATGACAATTTCTAAAAAATGGGGACACGGACATGGCAAGGGGCGCGGCAAATTTTTTAATTTTTTTATAAATATTTTTATTTTAATACGCATTAATTATTTTATTTTTTAAATAATGTTTTCCAATTAATTTTTTTATTTTATTTTACATGTGTTTATTTATTTATATTATTAATATGTATAAGTATATATTATCTTATAATATGTATTATATATTATCTCATAAGTATATTATATGTTATATAATGACTATTATATAATATATGATAACAATAGTTATATATATATATATATATATATATATATGAATGAAGAAGATAAAGACAAGACGACAGAGAGAGAAGGGGAGACAGAAGTGAGAGAGAAGTCGAAGGGCTTTGGATCGTTGAAGTCGAAGGGGGCTATAGCTAGTCGAAGTGGACTAGATTGTCGAAGTTGAAGGGTTATCGCTAGTCGAAATAGACTGAATGGAGGTCGATTGCCTCGAGATCGAAGTTATGAGAGAGCAAGAGAAAGAGAGAGCAAGGCTTACTGTGGAAGTCGTCCAAATTGAAGTCGCCGACCAGGTTTGTACTTCTTTTCTCTTTCGTTTACTCTTCTCGCCGACCGTGTCCCATGGTGTGTCCAAATTTGGACACGCGCGTCCCGGCCATGTCCCTTGCAAAAAAATAAATTAAATTAAGAAGACACGCCATCTGGCATGTCCCTTACGTGTCCCCGGCATGTTTCCGTATCTGACACTGCCACAGCTTCTATTTTGGCGTGTCCATGCTTCATAGGAGGTGGATGATTCATCGAAACTCAAACTCTATTCTCCTTCGGTGTTTACTTTAGCGGCTTGGAACTCATCTCTTGGGAGTTCATTCGAGGGTGGCTCATGTTCTCCGCTGGGGAAGTGAGCCAGGAGGTCGGGTAGCACTTGGCTCTTAATGGCCTTGGGGGCTTTATAAGTGATATCATATTCTACTAACGAGAGGAGCCAACGAGTCGGCTTGCCAGAGAGAGTTGGTCTAGTGAGGAGGAATCGGATGGGATCACTCCGAGTCGGCTTGCCAGAGAGAGTTGGTCTAGTGAGGAGGAATCGGATGGGATCACTCCTGGTCATGAGATGGATGGGGTAAGAGAGGAGGTAATGTCGGAGCTTTTTGGTGGCGAAGACTAGGGCGAGGCAATGCCGCTCGATGGGGGAATATCGGACTTCATCCCCTTAGATAACTCTGCTTATGTAGTATACAGGTCATTCTAGTCCGTTGATTTCGTGGGCGAGTAGAGCTCCGACTAACTTCGGCGTGGAAGTGATGTAGAGGAGTAAAGGCCTCACCGGTTGAGGAGTCATAGAGAGAGGGGAAGCTTAAGCTGACTTCACCACTTCGAACGCTAGTTGGTGCTCCTCATTCCACATGAACCCGACGTCCATTTTCAGCAATGAGTTGAAGGGTTGTGTTATTTCAGCCATAGTAGGGATTAACCGTCTCAAATAAGATGCCTGACCAAGGAAGGTTCTCAGTTTGTCTATATTTGTTGGTCGTGGCATATTTCTGATGGTGACGACCTTTGTTGGATTGGGGTCTATCCCGTGGCGGTGAACAATGCAGCCAAGGAACTTGCCAGCAGTGACTCCAAATACGCACTTAAGTGGGTTCATTCGAAGTCTGTATTTCTTGCAACGTTCAAAGACTTTTTGGAGGTCTTTGAGGTGACTAGTTTCTTCTTTGGATTTTACCACCAAATCATTAATGTAACACTCTAAGGTTTTGTGCAATATATCGTGAAAGATGGCTGTCATACCTCTTTGGTAAGTTTCTCCCGCATTTTTTAATCCAAAAGGCATTACTTATGAAGTACGGACATGGACACGGGGACACGACACAGACACGACATGGACACGTGGATACGTAAATTTTTAAAAAATAGGGGACACGACATGCTAGAGACACACTCAATATATATAATTTTTTTATTAAATATACTTATTTATTTATTTTATTTATTATATGTAAAATTAAAAGATAGATGTATATTATTTTTATTTATTTATATTATTTATTTACAAAAAAGGTAAAAAAAAGAAAGAAGAATAAAAGAATAAAAGAGACGGTAAGGAAGAGGGGAGAGAAAGAGTCAAACAAAAAAGGAGAGAGCAAACAAGAGAGATGAACACAGAGAGAGGCAACGAATAAAGATGAACAAAGAGAGAGGAGA